CCCACATTGGCCCACTCAGCCCTGCCTCACACCTGCTGGATTTCTGTTTAGTTTAAATAATATATCTAAAATTTTTTACAGCAATAGAAAGGCTTGTCCAGTCATTCTGTCCCAATTTGGTCTCTCTTGGGTCTCTGGATTTATTAATATGTTCCTAGCATTTTTACACATTTTTTATTTGGTGGAACTCATCTAAGTTGGTGTAGGTGGTGTAAGAATACCTTTTACGTTGTGGCATCCACCTACTCTACCCCACATATACCAATTAAGATGAGTTCCACCCAAGTATTTTACATGAATACATGATGATACTTTCCATCCTGTCCAGTGTACTTCATCTTTTATAAAATCCTAGTTTTAGCCATGTGGAGTGGTGCAGGCTTATAAATCAAGCACTGTGGGAGGCTGTTTGACTCCAGCCTGGGCAATTTAGCAAGACGCTGTCTCAAAATTGAAAGAAAAAAGGCAAAAACTTAAATTCCAATAAGCTGCTTTTGTGGCCTATTCATGTTTAAGAAATGTTGGTCTAACACATATCTGGTACTCTGTGGTTCACATAAATTTCTCAGCTCAAACAACAGAAAGGAAAAACTTGTGAACTTGAGTGACACGACGAGCTGTGGGTTAGAAACACGGTAACCCTTAAAGCCCGGGGAGATGGAGTGTAGCACCATCAAACGTAGGGAGACCACTCGGTCCTCACTTCTGGACTCTGGATCTCAGAACTGCTCATCTGTGCTGTCCAGTGGTGGCCATACAAGTGTAATTAGTTGAAATGTAAATGTAAAATCCAGGTTCTCAGTATCGCCGGCCCCATTTTAAGTGCTCAGTGGCCACATGGCTCCCGTGAGGCTGCAGGGATACACACAGTTCTGTAGGACATTGCTGGTCTGGGTGGAGCCTGGGGAGACGGATCACCTTTAGACAGGAGCATATCTCAAAAGTGCTCAAAAAGTATATAAAGGTAACAGTGCTAACTGCAAAGGATATTCTACAGCCAACAACTACATACATTCAATGGGATGCCTGCACTCTCCTCGATGACAGCACAGTTCTCAAACAGCAGTCCCCAGCATGGGCAGTGAGCAGAAGCTAAGGCACCCACAGAGCACACTCTTCATTGGCTGCTGTGGACCAGAAGTAGCTTTTCTTGACAGCATCCAGGGGGCAGAAGCCAGGGCTGCAAGAGCTAGTATGAGCCTCTCCTGGGGCTTTCCACAGACACTGTGGTGACCTCCAGCCTTTTCCAACTCCTGTGCTCCAGGATCAGCTGCTATGAACACGTAAGAAGCTGTTCCTCACAGCCCTGTCTTCAGACATTTCCCAGCTGCTCCTGTCACACGGTAATGTCACAGGCTTCCAAAATAAGGGGACTGAGCAGGATAGATTCTAGAGGTGATCCTTTATCAGGAGACAGGCCCCAGGGTCTGCTCTCTCATTGAACCCTCCATGCCAGGTGCCCCACGGGCGCCACTTGACCCAGCCCGCGGGTCAATCTGCAGGGCAACCATCTGGAGGAGGAACAGGGATTGACAAAGGCAGGGCAAGAGACAAAGAGAGATGGAGACAAGTTGAGGAATTCCAATCAAGTCTCATTTATTGAGGAACTGGTCACAGCTTTTATAGGGGAAGGGCAGGCCAGTGGGACAGGAAGAGGCTACGGGGTGATCTCTGATGGGTCATCGTCACGTCTGTGTATGTGACGTGAACAGGAGAGGATCATGATAGGTGTAGATGCACTATGTGCCCATACAAGAGAGAGGCGGGGAGAAAGCAGTGGGACAGCTATACCGCCCCCTACAGCTAATGCCCAAAGGATTGTGAGATATTTGCAGAGGAAATGATTCCCTTGGGGAAGGTGAAGGTTTTCTACCTTGGCCGTTTCCTGAACTCCCGTATCTTCACGGAGAGCAAGCTCTCCAGCCAGCTCAGTCCAGGAACTGCTGAGAGTTATCAAGTGATGGATGTAGAACAGAGAAACTGGAATAGGGTTCTTTCTGCTCCTCATTAGACCAGCAAAGAGAAATGAGATACCAAACTAGCCCACATGACTGAGATAGGTAAAAGAGTTGCTTTGTGAAAATAACAGACAAATATAAGTTGCTGTTCACCTATATACCAAAGACTACCTAATGCAAGTATATTAAGTAAGTATACCCCTGGTAAGAATCAAATTTCTGATCACAATTTTACAAGTTAATTCATCCAGAGATCACCTTTTTTCTACTTAAATCCACATGTGTATTTGCTGGCATTCTCTATGTATGCTAAAAGCAATTCAGATTGCAAAGGTAAGTAAGTTTGGGAGTGCTAAGTTGCAGCCTATAAACGCTGATCATCCTGGGAGGGCACCATGAATGTCATTAGTCTTATTGGCTGGTGTACTAGTTATCTATTCCTGCATAACAAATGATGACAAATATAGCAGCTTAAAATCCCAGGGCATTTACTATCCCACAGATCAGGAACCTTGGCATTTGGCTTAAGAGTCTCTTACAGAGCGGAAACTAAGGTGATGGCCAGAACTGGGCCAAAGGCTTGACTAGAGAAGGATATGTTTCTGAGGTCATGCGGTGGTTAGCAGAATTCAGTTCTTTGTAGATTGGATGGGGAGCCTTGGTACCTAGTTTCTTGACATGTAGGTCTTTCCAGCATGACTGCTGCTATATCAAAATGTACAAGCCCAAGAGATGGGAGACTCAGCTAGCAAGATGGAAGCTACAGGTGAAGGTAACAGGTCATGGAATGGACATCCTGTCACCTTAGCTGCATTCTGTTGGTTGGAAGCAAACTATAGATCCCACCCACAGTCAAGGAGAGGAGATATGCCAAGCTGTGAGGACCAAGAGATCATCTCAGACCTGCCAGTTCCTGGGTTGCACTGCCTGCTTCTGAAGCTCAAGGTGCTACATGTAGTCACTTTGAGTTTCCTGTGCTGGCAAACAATGCAGCCACAGAAGAGAGAATCAGTGGATGGTGTGGCACAAACTGTGAAAGATGATCCTGAGTCTTTGTGTTAGACTTACGCTTCTTATAGAAAGTGGATAGAACAAATGGTCTGTCAGCTTGAGTAAAATTTCTTTTATAGCACACTGAACCTGGCTCAAGGGAGCCCTCACTAAAAACTGAGTATGAACTGAGCAGGGTTGTACATACTTGGAAACCCAGAACTCTGAAGGCTGAGCCATGAGGATCACAAGTTCAAGAACAGAATGAGTGTCTTAGTTACTTCTCTTGTTCCTAATACAAAATACCTGGCACCCAGAGTTAAACAGGGAAAGGTTTATTTAGCCCATAGTTTGTAGAGGTTTCAGTCCATAATTGGCCAGCTCCAAGGCAGTATGGCACAGCAGAAGGCATCTCAGAAGAGAAGCAGTTCCTAGTGGGCAGAACATAGCAAAACAAACAGAAGACAACCACAACTTTCTACCTTACATCTTATGCAGGCTGTTCAGGGCAGATAGTATCCACACCCTTAATCCTGATGCCCTTGATCCTAGCATTGAACCACTAAGTCTCGGCATCACACACAAGATCCAGCCATCCCCAAAAAGACCCACCTATCACTGTATGAGACTTTCAGGGTCATCCAGATACAAGCCATAACACTGGCCAGCTTAACAAGGACCTCTCAAAACTAAAAAAGGGCTGAGGATGTAGCCTTTTGAGTTCCTTCTCCAGTGCCTCAGAAAAAAAAAGAAAAGGGTCAGGGATTTAGCTCAGCGGCATAAGCACCTACCTTACAAGTGCGCGGTCATGAGTTTGATCCCCAGTACCAAAAAGAAAAAGAAAACACATGAATAGATTTTGCAGTTAATCAGTTCTGTTGCCCTTCTTTTATGATATTTTAAGTGAAATCCAAAAATAAAATTTTTTTTCAGGAAATATTTTAAAATACTATGACTTAAATTATACAAAAAATAAAAGGAAAATAATCATAATAAAAACAAATTTCAATGTGTATATACTCTTAAGGACAGGGGTTGAATGCCTGTTCTTGAATTTAGAATCACTGCTAATGATTAGTTATAAATGCTGACTGATACCTAATACTGGGGCGTGAAATGAAAGACTCAGATCTTTGACGATGTGATTTTCCAGGAAGAAGATGAGCAGTTCTTGGAACTTTTTGAACAACAATGACAAAATCATCATTCAATAATTTACATAGTAGTTGCGTTCCTAGGGGGAAAAAAAAAACCTGGTTTTGGAGTAGTCCAGGTAGTTATAAATAAGGTTTTGATGTACTGATTCGTCGTGAAGGTCATTGGAAACTGCAAAGCCTCAAGATGATACTTTGAATGGGATTTTACTGGGCTTTTCAGGACAGATGTCTGGGGCTTATACTCTTCCCTCAATTCCAGAAATAGTTCAAACTCATTGCAACAACAGCAGAAGACCCGGGATTTTGCTTGCAGGCAGGTCCACTTGCCACTGCAAAGCACTGCGGAGAGTGTTAACTTGCAGGAAAGTGAAAGGAAATCGTCAAGGTTGGGTTGGACACGGTTAAGCCTGAAGCCCAAGGAATATCAGGAGACAGAGGGCAACATGCACTTTGGCCAGGGCTGTGGCTCAGAGGCAGAACGCTTGCCTAGCATGCAGTAGACCTTGAGTTCCATCCTTAGCCTGGGGGAAAAGATGGTGCCCCCAGAAGTGACTACTGTGGGGGTGCAGCTGAGGCCAGTTAGAGAAGAAGGCAAGCATAGGACTACAATATCTGCTTAGGTGTAGAAGGAAAGAGCATGTTAGGCTATTAGGAATAGATGTCTCAGGGATTTAGCTCAGTGGCATAAGCGTCTGCTTTGCTAAGCATGTGGTTGTGAGTTCAATCCCTGGTACCAAAAAAAAAAAGCAAAAACTAGGGATAGTCTCAAAGCAGATACTTTCACACCAAATTTTTTTTTCCTTAAGTTTACCTACTCAGCATCCATTTCTCACTTTGATTTTGTCTTTCACACTGAATTTTAAGAATACTGACAAAATCGCTTCTTTCCCAACAGAAACCTGTTTCCCTCAAATCTTGTGCGTGCAGCATTCCATACGGTAAGTTTTGATACTTAGCTAGATGCATGAAACTTTGATGGGGGAGAAGTATAAATTGCTGCTAGCAAGTTAAGTAAAGTAGACTAGGGAGGGATCATGTGGTTAACAAAACTGGATAATTGTCCTAAACTTTTATTGATAGGCACCTGGAATTAAAAAAATAATTAAACCTGGGAATCAAACTCATGACCTTTCCCTTGCCAGGTAGCTCAAGCACAAAGTACAAGGTCATGAGTTCGATCCACAGTACCAAAAAAAAGGAAATTAATTTAAACTGGGTGTGGTATGCATACCTGTAATCCCAGCACTCCGGAGGCTGAGCAGGAGGATCCTGCATGAGGATTGTTGCAAGTTCAAGATCAGGCTACAAAGTGAGCTCGAGGCCAGGCTGAACTGCAAAGTGAGACCCTGCCTCAAAAAAACAAACAAACCAAAAGTCTGTTTACATCACTTAGGCGCTTAAAAAATACCCTCAAACTACCCTCAAATCAAATTGCGGGAACATCAAAACTGTGGAATTTTTTAAAATAACATTTCTACTTTTTATTTTATTATAAAGTCATATTTTCTCATTACAAAAACTAAAAATACAAAAAAAGAAAAATCATCTGAAGCCTTTATCTAGAGCTAGCTGGGTAGTTAATGTTTTGCTGTACATCTTTTAGATGTGTTTATTTTCACAAGTGTACACCTTATATAAAATACGTGATATGTATTGTTAGTATGTACATACATTGTGTGTACTACTTCATAACTTGCTCTTTTAAAACAGTATATATTATAAACATTTCCCTTGTGGATAAATATCCTTCCGAGTAGTGTTACAGCTAGAGAATATGCTACTGTAAGAGTATAACATAATTCCCTCTGTCTGTCTCCTGTTGATGGACAGTCAATTTGTCTCTAGTTTTCTCCTCTTCAGCAATATGGCAAAACAAAACAAAAAAAAACACACCTCTGTGGCCATTCTTTCTGCAGAGAATAAATATAAAGGTTAGGAGAAATTGTCTAGTCTGATTGCTTATACAAGCAAAGACTTTTTCTACTTCCCTCTTTTTTCTTTTAAATCTGCATATGTGCAGAGGTGTTTTGTTATATATAATATGAGGTAGAAGAAAAAATAGATTTATGAAGCCCTCAGGCCCTGCCACAGAGAGGATGTGAGTTTTGTTTGCCTGCCACAGTTGGCCGTGGGTTAATTCAAGTAAAGGCAGAGCTCGTGAGAGGCAGGCACAAAGCAGGCCCAGGTCTGTACCTCCAAACAAGCTCCCCCTGAAGCAGGCGCCCTTAGTAAGGTGAAGGAGGACTGGGCTCTTATTTGATCCACTCCATAGTGCAGGCTGCCGTAGGAAGCACCTTGCCTTACATTTCTTCTCAAACCAGACTAGAAACAGATGCGGAGGAACAGTCATATGCAAATAACTCCTGGAACAAAGTAGGGCATGAATAAATGAATGAAAGTAAAGTGCCACGTTGCAAAGTGAACTTTGGCATCATGGAATTACTGCCAAATTTCTTCAAGTAACAAGAAATAGATTCAGTGTTGGAAATAATTAAACTATCAGCAGGAAATTAAGCATGGTATCTTCAAACCATTGCCCAAGGAACAGTTGGAAATCATTTTTTTCGGTCCCTAAATAACCCAGAGGCTTCTTAAGGATGTGCTGCCTTTTGTACAGTCCTCAAAGGTTCCTGAGAAATCTCAGGCCAGCTGAGTAAAGGGTGCCCAGCGATGTAAGCAATGCTGGAAGTTGCCAGAGGTCAGCCATGCCCCCCCTTTGGGTCTTGTCCTGGGCACTAACAGTGGATTTTCTTCCTTTCCATCGCAGTATGCTACCAACTATACAGTGGTGACCCACAACAACAGCTTTGGAAATGTGACCAAGGAAAAGGTAAGTTGCTCTAGAAGATCGCTTGCAAAAAGTCTTAAGGGACATTTATAATGTCTCGTTTTCAGCAGGTGCGACCTTAGAGTTTGAGGGGACTATTTAAAGCCTACAGTTGGGCTTGCTTCTCTGGTTATTTACTGACTTGACCAAGTGCCTGCACTGAGGGCACCATTTTTCCTCATTTGCACACTTTGAAATAAATGGTAAATAATTATTTTGTATCTACAGGTAGAATCACCCTGAATATCAAAGCTACAGCTACACATTGACATGTGTTGTACTGATCCCCTGGAAATTAGCACTTTAGCTTTTGGTGACACAATTTCCTAAAATGACAAATAACAGTTGATAAAGTTCAGGAAGCAAAGTTTTCCTTGAATTTATATCACCTTGATATTCTTGAAAAGTCCAGTATATATTAAAACTTCAGGAAAAAAATCTATTTATTTGTAAAATGGAATTAGTTCTAGCTCAGATCATTATACCAAGATTTTCCCTGTATGAATATCTAGTGGGATGCTCAGAAAGCTTCCAAGTGTAGGAGAGTGTACTTTGTTGCCTGAACCTTTGGTAATCTTAGCACCCTAGGACAACTTCCAGTAGGACAGCATGGTCATGATGCAAACCAAAGGCCCCTTGTGTGTCCCCCCAACCACTGCCACCACCACCACCACTATCCCCAATTCATAGCTGTTGATTTAATCAGTGGTCACGGATTTTAAAAGGTTGGAGGGTGTGTGGAGCTAGCTGGCCTCTGCTAAGCCCTGGTTTCCACAGCATGGCTCACTGGGGTGTGGATGTCCTCTAGGCCTGTTCTCTAAGTAAGTGGCTTTACCTCTGTGCACTGCTTGACAGTTCAGGTCCTCCACTTTGACATCATTTGAACCTAAGACAGCCTAATCAAAGAGGATTTATTATCCGTGCTGCTAATTCTTTGAAACAAAGATTTTCCAAGGTTGATTTAATCTGTTCAAAACTAAGCGTGAAGCATGAACCTAGAACACTACATGTCTCTGCAACCCCTACCAGTTCAGCAGACATTGCCCTCACACATCCTGTTTCCCCACTGGAAATGCTGCTAACCATGAGCTTCCTTCTTTTTTGTTGTTGTTGTTGCTGTTTTTTGTTTTGAGACAGCATTTCACAATGCAGTTCAATGTGGCCTTGAACTCACTTTGTAGCTCAGGCTGGCCTTGAATGCACAGCAATCCTCCTGCCTCAGCCTCCTGAGTGCTGGGTTTACAGGAGTGCACCATGGCACCCAGCCTTCCCTCAATTTTTATAATTTTTTTTTCTTTTTTATCGGTACCGGGGATCGAACTCATGACCGCCTGCTTCCAAGGCAGGTGCTTATGCCGCTGAGCTAAATCCCCAGCCCCCAGACTTACCTACATGAAACTTTCACCTGTTGACTTTCTGTATCTCCAACAGACCCCATCTTCCCTTAAGGTTTCTACCCTTTTGTTCATAAAATCACAAAGCGTTAAAAAAAACAAGTCTGCTAGTCCTGGATGCAGTGTTCAGTCTGGTGGAGATGCCCAAGGGATACCCCTAAAGTCTCATTCATCCACTGTGATCCTGGATGATTCTCTCTTCTCTGGTCCTGCAGATCCCCTACGGTACTGAGATTGAAGGAATGAACATTTTAGGGTTGGTCCTTTTTGCCCTAGTGTTAGGAGTGGCCCTAAAGAAGCTGGGCCCTGAAGGAGAAGAGCTCATCCGTTTCTTCAATTCCCTCAACGAGGCGACGATGGTGCTGGTGTCGTGGATTATGTGGTGAGTGTCACCCCACTACATCTGCTCTCCTTTTCCTGACATTCAGGGGAGGATCTGACTTTGCCATTCTAGATTATCCTGCTGGGCTCCGTGGCCCAGTGCTGTGAATGTGGCTGCTGTCTCCACGGGCCAGGCATGGGACAGGGTGATAGAGGTGGAGATGACTTCTCTTGTCCAGAACCTCTAGGAATCAGGGGTGCACCATGGTTGCTAGTTACCTCCTTGGTGCACAAATTGATTTACTGGTGGTTCTATCACTGTCATCTATGGGTTCCCAGCATCAGCCCATTTCAGTCAGTACCCATACATAGCATACTCAGTGCCTTTGTCCTCTTGGGAAGTAGTGCATTCCATCCATTCAGTATCTGCTGCGTAAAGGACTCATTTATCCTAGAATGATAGACTTCAACTTTAGAGGGGCCTCTCGCAAGCTGGTAATGTAGCCCAGAGGTAAAGCATTTGCCTGACATGTTAGGTCTTGGATTTCATTGCCAGCACCAAAAAAGCATAGAGACCCCCTCACTGTAGTATTTCCCTCTTCAGCCTGTGGGTATAAAAACTTGGAATGGTCTTTTCTTTACTATGCTTTTAACTTATAAACATTTCTTTGTGCAGTATCAATGAAAGGATGACTGTTTACTAAATAGCATCAGATTGATTCCTGATGAAAAAGTAAAAATTTGACTGACTCCTTCAAAACAGCCCCCCAGAAATCATACCGGTTTTACTACCTGTAAATCATAAAACTTTCCTGGTATTTCACAGGGAAATCCAGACTTCTGTGGCTTCTGCATCTGCCCATTAGTTGGTGGTACAAACAAAGCATCATCAACCCTTGAGAACTCAGAATGTCAGGACAATTTGCTTTACTACATGCTTTAATTAGATACCTGTATAAGTAGATATTCAGCAAGGCAGATCTTGCTAAGTTTCTAACTGCAGAGAACAACTTGGCAATACCATGCCACTAAAATAAGAAGTGGAATTGCTGAATTCCATTTCTTGGTGTTTTTACTAGAAAGACAAGCATGCAGGCACAGAGAGGGTGATATTTGTACTAATGAAAACCTGGGATCAATTTAAATGTCTATCAGTAAGTCAGTGGCAAAATAATCTATGGTATTTTCATTCTGTAGAAAGATTTTTAAATAGTGAGGTAATGGTGGAAGCAACACTAGTGTCTATCAAGAAAACATGGCATACTTACAAAATGGAATCGTATTCAGCCTTAGGAAGGAAATTCTGACACATGCCACAACATGGGTGAAGCTTGAGGACATTATGCTCAATGAAAGAAACCAGTCACAAAAGGACAAATGATGCATGATTCTACTTTTGTATACCTAGAGTAATCAAATTCACAGAGACAGAAAGTAGACCAGTAGTTTCCAGGAGCCAGTGGGAGGAAGAGGGGGAAGGGTTACTGTTTAATCCGTTCTGAGTTTCATTTTGGGGATGAAGAAAAGGTCCTGGAGGTGGATGATGGTGATGGTTGCACAATAGTGGGAAACTATTAAAGGCCACAATGCTGTACCCTTAAAGATGGTTAAAATGGCGAATTTTACATTATGTATGTCTCACCGCACTAAAAAAGGCCAGAAGTAGCGGCACACAGCTATAATCCCAGGTACTTGGCAGACTGAAGCGGAAGGATCACAAGTTCAAAGCCAACTTGGGCAATGTAGCAAGGCCCTGTCTCAAAATAAAAATCCAAAGGCCCGGGGCGGGGGGCAGATATAGTGTCCCTGGGGGGAGCCCTGGGGGGTAGCGTCCCTGGTTTCAATCCCTAGTACAGCATCAAAAGAAGAAAAAGAATGAGGTCAGTTTTTAAGTATTAACCTGAAAAGATCTCACAGTCATAATGTAGGATGAAAAATAAATAAGATTTAAATACATTCCTATCTAAATACGTGGGAGGCAGGAGTGGTTATAAGAGGTCTCACTTGACGATGATGTCTAAAGAGGATTTGCATCTAATCTATAATGTTTGAATGTTTTGAAAGGAGTGTGTATTTATGTATTACCATGGGACTAAAATTGATAACTGGTTAAAAACAGCTGTCGAAGGAAAACTCCAAAGAACAGTGGCTCTCTGTCCTGGGTGCTGGGGGACAGACAGAAGACACTTTACACTGTCCACTTTTGTACCCTTAGAAATTGGAACTAAGTGACATTATTACCTAGGTGCTTGAAATTTACAAAGTGAAGAATAAATGCTTCCTGAATTGATATTAAATTCAAAACAACTGCCTTTTGTTCCATTGTAGCTCTCATAAGTCGTTGCTCCCCATCCTCCCTTAAAAAAACCCCTTTACATTCTGGGAGTGTTCCCAGAGGGTCATTGTTAATGACTTCTTCCCACGGGATCATGTGTTCCAAACGGTAAGAAATATAAAGCCACAGAAGCCCCAGCTTTGGCTCACTTTGTATCTCAGCAATTCTGTGAAGTTGGTGTTAGTCCTCTGTGTTTCTAAATTCTCAGGACAAGCCTGAGCAAAACCAAAAGTCAAAGCTCACAATCCCAGGGACTTTGATCTTGAGTTCCTGGCCTTCCTGCTGGAGAGCCTGCATGGTTGGTGGCACCCATCTGTTGAGGAAAGAAATCTCATTCTGGTTCTGGTTACCTGTGCAAATCATCTTTATTCCACTCAGCCTGTAAAATGGGGATGGCCCACCCCCATCTTTACCTGTGTTCAGGACTGGCCAAGAGAGAGATGGAGACAGCCTAGTTGAAAATCCTTACCTTCTGTAGTGGGAGGGGCCCACACCCCCAGCCCCTCCAACACCTTCCCGATGAGTCTCTGTGTTTCTGCTTTAGGTACGTACCTGTGGGTATCATGTTCCTTGTTGGAAGCAAGATCGTTGAAATGAAGAACATCATTGCACTGGTGACCAGCCTCGGGAAATACATCTTCGCATCCATATTGGGCCATGTTATCCATGGAATAATTGTTCTGCCACTTATTTATTTTGTTTTCACACGAAAAAACCCATTCAGATTCCTCCTGGGCCTCCTCACGCCATTCGCAACAGCATTTGCCACCTGCTCCAGGTGAGTGGACTCGGCCGCTCCGAGCCGAGTCACCGTGGAGCCCCGCAAGCCCTGTGGAGGGCACGTAGCCAGTTCTCTGTCCTCCTGGGGACATCGTGCTCTGAGGCAATGTGTGCTTCCTGAGAAAATTAGAACAGGTGAATCCAAGCACATAATATAGCAGGTCAAACCAGGAAGTCATGTTCTGAATACTTTAAGGGTTGACAGAGCCTTACGTGAGAGGCTTTAAAACACATCATTTCCTCTCTTAGTTCAAGCCAGAAAGAAAGACAGTGCCGAGTGCTCAGTTCAGGGCTGAACTGGGTCCTGGATTAGCCTGGCGGCGGGCAGCCATTCTCATGGTTGATTGCTGGTTTTTTCCACTTCTAGCTCAGCAACACTTCCTTCGATGATCAAGTGCATTGAAGAAAACAACGGTGTGGACAAGAAGATCAGCAGGTTTATTCTTCCCATCGGGGCCACTGTGAACATGGACGGGGCAGCCATCTTCCAGTGCGTGGCTGCAGTGTTCATCGCCCAGCTCAACAACGTGGAGCTGAATGCGGGGCAGATTTTTACCATCCTGTAAGCTCGAGGCTCTTCTGACGTGTTTGGGTTTAGCGTAAAACTTGAGGATTTTCTTTGATTGCCTTTGAGAAACCAAGGTCACCCCAATGTGGCATCTGCTTTTGTCAAATGAGAACAGTGTGGCTTCAATGTGATCATCTTCCACATCCTGGGGCATGGATTCTAGGGTCACCACCTTCCCCCAAAAGATACCGAATCCAAGATACTCAAACCCCTCACACAAAATGTTATAGTACTTCTATATAACTATTCACATTGCCCACATTCTTTATATTATCTCTAGATGACTTGCAATGCATAATACAATGTAAGTACTATGCAAATAGCTGGCACACTGTATTTTTTTTTTTTATTTAAGGAGAAAAAGAAAAACAGAAAAAGGGTACAAGTTTTACAGAATTTCAGAAAAACAATAGGAAATCACTAGTTAATAGATTACATATTGTTATGTTAGAAATAGTTGTTCAAGTTACAAAATTAAAGCATATAAAGTGGACTTCAAAACAGTGAGACTGGAAACAGTTTTGTTCAATGATCCAACAAAACTCAGTAATATGGTTATCTATCTTATACACTTAAATATACATGCAGTTATATCCTTTAGAGCACTTTCTTTTCCTTTCTTTTATACAATGACAATTACACATTTTGGGTTTTATTACTCCCACAGTTCTTACTACTTTTTTTTGAAGAGAGTAAAACCAAATGTGACATAACAGAACAGAGTCAGTCAAATCAAAAGGATGGACATAATAGATAATGTAAAAACAAAATACTAGGTGATCAACAATGGTTACCATACTGCCTCTTGCTATCTTAAAAAGAATTGCCTATATCATCAGTATAATAAAATTGAACAAAACAGTAAAGAATAAAACCAAAACATTGGAGACATTACAGGACTTTAAAAGAAGATAATAGTCACCCAGAATAGGCGTCATAATGAATCTTATTGTCTTTACAGTTGTTGCCTATACTTATGAACTACTATCAAGCAAAGCAGAATAGAGGAAAATCAGTCAAAGCAAGATGGTGAGGGCTATACAGGGTTTCAAATCAAGTTAATAGGAAATAAAAGTGGGTTACTATAATGTATCCTGCTATTTTTTTATTTTTCCCTTAATTAAAAAGATAAAAAAGTAAATAATTTAAAAAAGGGAGACTGAGATAAAAGAGTGCACTGTATTGTTTAGGGAATAATGATAGAAAAATGTCTGTACGTGTTTAGCAGAGACACATTTTGACCCATAGCTGGTTAAATGCTTGAATGCCTAAGCTGAGGATGTGGAGAGCTACTATTCTTGGAGAGTGGATCATCTCTTCAGCTCCCAGCACCTGCGGTGGCATAGTTTTTTCAGTTTCTTAGCTGTGGCTGCCACATTCTGTATTGCTCTATGCTCCCTTTCTGCTCCAGGATAATGACTGACCCTTCTGTGCCATCCCCAGAGTGACCGCCACAGCATCCAGTGTTGGAGCAGCAGGGGTGCCAGCTGGAGGGGTCCTCACCATCGCCATTATTCTGGAGGCCATTGGCCTGCCCACCCAAGACCTCTCTCTGATCCTGGCTGTGGACTGGATTGTGTAAGTAGCTAATCCTAGACATAATTGTCTTACTTATTTTTTTCTCACTGTGGAGACAAAATATCCAATGCTAAAAATTAAAGGAGGAAAACTTTATTAAGCTCACAGTTTGTAGAGGCTGCAGTATAATGAACTGGATCCAAGGCAGGGCAGCATCACAGAGGAAAAGCAATTCACAGAAGACAGCCAGCAGCAGCAGGCATTGACCCTCTTTCTGTCCCTTATATCTTGTCCAGGCACATCCAGGGTGGGGCACCCTTAATCCTATCTGGAACTATGCCAAACCAATCAGTGGACTAATTTAGTAATCATATATGCAAGTATCGTACAATCCCAGCATCACATACTCTAGATCCAGCCACCTCTGAAAAGTACCACCTATGACTGCATAAAGCTTTGGGGGGTTATCTAGATATAAGCCGTAACAATGATTTAAAAAAAAAAAACTACACAGAATGCCTTGTTGGGTTCCTAGAAGCTACACACCCCCTGCCGTGTGAAGGAACCTTAAGCTGGCCTGGCAAGGCCAGAATTACAACTAGGAGAAGTTAAACATAGCGAGGATCAAACGCCCATGAACACCCATGAATGCGCATGTCCTGCCACTAGTGGTAACCATCTCATAGCATCCAGGAAAGTAAGGACCCAGCGCCATCCCTTCAGCATAGCCCGGGAACACAAGCCCTGTAAAGTCAGTGGCTGTATGGGAGCCAGAAGGAGTAAGAGCAGTGGTCCTTCGGCTATGGTGTCCCTGGCCTGGAAACATCTGAGGAGTGCTTCCTGTGAGGAGAGAAGGGGAACCTTGCTAGTGTACGCAGCGTGGGCTCCTGTCAGGCTCAGCAGAGGAAGAGTCAGGAAGTGCCAGGATCTGGACCCCTCCTGTAATGACCCAAAGGAGCCAGGTGTGCCTATAATCCTAGTACTCATGAGGCTGAGGCAGGAGAATCACTGTGAGTTTGAGGCCAGCCTGGGCTACATAGTGTGCTCAAGGCCAGCCTGAACTGCATAGTGAAACCCTATTTCAGAAACACTCTTAAGTAAATAAATAAGACACAAAGGCATTTCTGGATGTTGATTCCTTGAGTCTACAAATACCTTTGGCAGGTGTGAATAACACCTGTTGTATAGAGGTTAACAGAGGTGCTGATGATATTGACACAGCTTAGAGCCCAGCTGCCTGAGTTCAAATCAGCCTCCCCATGTGGTTGTTGCATATTGTGAACTCTCCTGTGCCTGGTCTGCTCATCTGAAATGGGAATCATAGTAGAAGCTATACAGGGGCACCCCGTGAGGCTCAAGGGTGTCAGCACCCCGCACTGTACACAGAACACTGGGCACGTGGGAAAGCCCTCGGTCCCCAGCAGTAAAGAAAGACCTTCCTGTCAGGCTGATCACAGCCAGGTGTGGGAACCTGAACACAAGTGCCTGCAGGGTGTTGGGCTAATTGGCAACAAGGAAGCTTTAGGAAAAGACGGTGCTGTTCTCTGAGGTGATGTTTGCTGCAGCTGTGGAATGCACATGAGGACTGGTCGTATCCAGGAGGGAGCTGGGTGTGGGGGTGCCAGCCTGTCATTGCAGCACTTGGGAGGCTGAAGCAGGAGAATCACAAGTTTGAGGCCAGCCAGAACATTTCAATGACATCTTATTTCAAAAAAGAGAGAGAGAGAAGAAAAAGTCTAGTACTAAAGCAGCACTAAAATGAACACAAGGATAATGCCAAGGGGCAACAGACCCTATCTATTCTCCCAGTTATATGCAGTCTCATATAATGGTGGCATTGCATGTAAAATACATGCATAGAAAGGTTGGCTAGGACCAGTGTCAACACCAGTTTGCACAGAGGTGTAGAATACAAGTGACTTTCATTTCCTTTGTTTAAAAACTTGTTTATTTATTTACTTATTTTTTGACACAGGGTCTTGCTGTGTAGTTCAGGCTGGCCTTGAACTCACAATGTAATCCAGGTTGACCTCTAACTGCAAGATGATCCTCCTCCGTCCTGCTTCAGCCTCCTTAGTTCTAGGGTTATAGCTATGTGCCACTACACCCAGCTCAACTTTTGCTTGCTTACAGTTGGTTTTTCCCAAATGTTCTACAGTAAGGTACTATTACATTTACAAGAATGAGGTAAGAGCATTGCAAGTTTGAGGCCAACCTGGGCAAGACCTGTTTCTAAATTTAAAACATTTTGCCAAGTGTGGCAGCACATGCCTGTAATCGCAGCACTTGGGAGGCTGAGGCAGGAGGATCACTGAGTTTGAGACCAGCTTGGGCTACAAAGTGAGCTCAAGTCCATCCTGAACTACGTAAGCAAGACCCTGACTCAAAAAACAAACAGACGGAAACTTTTAAAGTCTGCAGATGTACCTCAGTGATAGAGACTTCCTAGGCACACATGTGGCCTTAGGTTCAAGGCCCAATACCAAAAAGTAAGAGAAAAACACCATGAGGCTTCAGGATATAACTTAGTTAAAAAAAAAAAAGAGGGGCTGGGGATTTAGCTCAGCGGCATAAGCGCCTGCCTTGCAAGCAGGCAGTCGTGAGTTCGATCCCCGGTACCGATAAAAAGGAAAAAGACAAAAAAATAAAAAAAAATAGAGAATGTAACTTAGTGATAGAGAACTTGCCTGTGTTGCAGGTGGAACGCCGTGAGTTCACTTCTCTGCCCCACCAAAAAAAGTACAAAAACAGTAGGAAATGTTCAGAGATAGTCAGTTTGGAGCAAGTCCTTAGCAGCAAACCCTCCAGGGAACAAGGCCCCCCCTTGTTTCCAATCACAGTTCCCGGTGGTGACATCGTCTCCCTGTGACTGAGCGGGCTCCCCACAGTCTCCCGCTGCGGTGCTGGCGGTGACACCTGCCCTTTTCTTTTCCCACCAGGGACCGGACCACCACCGTGGTGAATGTGGAAGGGGATGCCCTGGGAGCAGGCATTCTCCACCACCTCAATCAGAAGGCCATGAAGAGAAGCGAGCAGGAGCTGAGCGAGGTCAAAGTAGAAGCTGTCCCCAACTACAAGTCCGAGGAGGAGACATCACCTCTGGTGACACACCAGAACCCCATTGGGCGTACGCCCAGTGCCCAAGAAGTGGAGTCCAAGGAGTCGGTGCTGTGAAGGGCAGGGCCCCAGGCTGGCACCCACCCCATTACACACGGGCACTGCCCTCACAGATTTTCAGTCTCCCGAGCAGTGCTTTGGCCCAATCACAGTTTGAGGATGACCTCTCCACGCAGGTGTTGGGCTCCCTGGAGGGAACTGGTTGCCGAGGACCAGAACATTCTGACATTTGGCTTGATGCAGTCTGGGTGCAGCTGCCAGTGCACCGGGACTGTTTGGAAAACACCGTCTCAGGCTGCCAGGCCGGAGGAGCTCTGCAGGGCCGCGGGTAAAGCTTGGGAAAATGCAGGCGTCTTCTTTATTAACCCTGCTCAGCTTCGCGTTGGTTACTGCTGGGCAAACTAAGCAGGGTTGCAGTCATCTGTCGCGTTCCCTCGTGAACAATAGTAACTGGAGAAATTCCCAAACTCCCAAATTTATACTGTTGGTGTTTAAAGAGTTACCCTGCTCTGAGGGCCCTCGGCGCTGCCCTGTGTCCCATTACAACTACTCTAGCTGTGGCAGCATTATGGGGTCTCAGGTCGGGAGCATTAGGGAAACAATTAAATTCTGAGGTCTAAGGGAGGCGGAGAGTGTCAGGGGAGTTAGGGTTCCCTGATCAAGGACAAGACGTACACAGTTGTCCCTTTCCCATCTCAGCCCTGGGCACCTTTCAGCTTTACCCATCCACTCTGATGTGGCAGCAGCCAGGGGCCTCTCTGTGACACGACCTTCACGTCCACCAGCTGTGTCGCTCTGCCTTCTACAATTCGAGTGGACCCTCCCTAAAATGCTTCACGGCAGCAAAGACAAGTGCACCCCCAACGTTAAATCTATGCACTAATCGAGATGGGGTGCCCCTGCTCCCAGGTCTCTTCCCTTTGGCTGATGTGGAACCCTTGCCTGCCAGTATATCAGACTTTAAAATTCTCAGCAAAATGGTCCCTGTTAGTCCTGTTGGCTGGCACCTCAATTCTCCCTGGGGAGAGGGCTCCCCAGATGGTGTGTCGCTGGTGGACGGAAGACTGGAGAGTCTGCTGCTTTGCTGTGGCTGTTGGTATACTTGTGGTGTGCCCTGCCCCAAGTCCTGGGGCCTCACTCTTCCCCTTTGTAAAATGGGGCCGCTGTCACCTGTCTCTTACCTACCTCAAAGGGATCTGGTGAGGCAAACAGTAGAGCCATGAAAAAGTTCATCTCACTTCTTAGATACCAAACACTAACCCCTGTGTGAGCATCTTACCTTTCCAAGAACTGAGTGACAGCCTTCTCCATGGAGACTGCATCCTTCCGGTGACAGCAGTTTTCCTGGGCAGGCTTCTACTCTTCCGTGCATCACAGCGTTTATCGTGCCACTGGTTCTGTGCGTAGTTACCTCCTCCTGATGCCCTTTCCAGTTTCATGGTGAGCAACGCGCCTTGTACTGCATTTCTGGGTTCTGGACTCGGCTGTGGTTCCAGCCACAGGCAGTCTGCCAGCCCACTCCTGGCAGACTGTTGAAGCTCCCACTGCTGAGCCCCCTTCATTCTCATGTTCCTTGTGATGTGGGCCCTACATCATCCATGTGGTCCTGTCCGTGTGGAACGGGTAGGAGGAGCCAACGGACACAGAGCTGACCCTGCTGGTGGGCAGGCCCAGCTCTCCTAAACTAGCTAAGCCACTCCAGTATCTTGTGAAGCCAGAGGGACCAGGAACCGAGCAGAGATGCCTAGAAACTGGCCCTGGCTAGAGCTTGTTGCCAGAATCCATCCGATTTCAAAGGGGAAAAAGTCACATTGATTCCAAACTGTAAATGGATATTTGCTATTTTTCAGGCTTCAGTGAATCTCTTTTCTTCCATGTGTATTATGTGCATGTGTACATACGTGTGTGTGTGTGTGTGTGTGTGTGTGTGTGAGTTTAGCTCCAATTCAAGCCAGTCTGAGTTTGAATAGAGAAGCCCTGAACTGTAAGTTGTATGCTTTTGGTGTTCTGATTTTCTTATTTCTTTAGAGGACTCATACAAAAATGAGGAGATTGGACTGGCCAGTGAGGCCCACTGGTTGAACTCATGCCTCCACAGTCTGGAAAAATTGCTTCTGTGTGAGGTGCTGACAGTGCCTTGGAGGCCAGCAGAGGAGGGAGAAGGTGCCGAGTGTCCCTGTTTATCCGTTCACAGAGGGTTGGTAGACCAGTGTGAGGACTGGGGAAAATTCCACTGTCGAAGAGAGTCTGAAATGCCTCCGCTGTCATTCTCTTTCCATGTTGTCATAAATACTGTTCAAACACTGTTCATTGCTGACTATTTTGTACATGTGACACTTGCCTTAAAATGTAGCACAGTCCTCAAAAATGAATACAGTGATTCTACTGCCCTCCGCTGTCCTGGATTCCTGTCTTATGTTTGAAGGGGCACTGACTTGGAAGTACTGCTCTTGTTGGGGACAGCTGGGGTGGCCAGTGGACTTGTTCTTACTCCTTTCCCCTGAGGCAGGGTAGACTGGCTTCTGAGGCCTCCAGCTTCCAACTGGTGACCCGCATGCTGCCTGTGGGCCTGCAAACGGTGTGCCGTTTTGCCACACACTTCCATAAAGTTAGGTCTTGTCGGGTCGTTGAGCTTCTGCAGGAAGCCAAGCACAGGTGGGAAATGAAGAATAAAGAATGCCCAGGGTGTAGAGTGGCTGGGCAGGTGGTGGAGGCAGGCAGTGACTCAGGCCTCCGCTGTGGTCGCCATCAGACCCAGCCCATTATTCGATGTAATCTTGTCACAGTACCACATCCCAGCACAGTTAGGGACTCTAGAATCCTTTTGCGAGGGTGTTGGTACTGGGGATTAAACTCACAACTGCATACTTGCCAGGCAGGTGCTGAACTTTATCCTCGGCCCTAGAAACCTCTTAGGATAGTAAGGTTCCCTGTAGGCTCATACTAGAAGCCATAGTTTCCAAACCCTGGGGCTCTGAGGAAACATCCTGTTCTGATCTGAACTCCGCCAGCCCCTCTCATGTGAAAATTTCTGGACAAGTCACAAAGAATGAGGAGGGCACGCACAGATCAAAGGCCCACTGGGGCAATTGTCTCAACAACATTGTGGAGAACCAAGGGTGGGTTGCCTTTATGTTCCTCAGCCCTGGGGGCCAGAAGAGTGCTTGCTGCTCAAAGGAGTTTCACTCATTTCCATGAACATCATAAACCAGGTAGCCAGAGGAGAGCGGACTGACCATTCCAGTGTGGACCCTGCTGCTTGCTGTGTGACCCTGGACAGAACAACCGCTCCATGCCTCAGTGTCCTCAAAACATGGGGGTAATAACCACACAGTGACATACTAACTCACTGTGAGGATCTGATGGGTTTAATGTTCGGTGTTTGGAAAGCACCTAGCACATGGAGTAGGCTGTGTCGGTGTCTGCTTTCAAATCAGACACAGTGACTGGACAGGCTCCCAGCCAACCTGTGTCACCTGTGCCTATACCTGCCTGCCCATTAGGTAGCATGCAGGGTGCTTGTCCCCTAAAGAGTCAGCTGAGGACCTGCCGCAGCTGGCTGGCCCCTCTGGCTATCTGTGCCTGTATACTGTAGGAATGGATCTACCTAACATTCAGAGGTTGTTTTGGGGTTTTTTTTTTTTTTCATTTTTTGTTTGTTTGTTTGTGGGTTTTTTTCTGCTTTTTTTTTTTTTTGGTACCAGGAATTAAACTCAGGACCTCGCACTTGCCAGGTAGGCTCTGTGCCACTGAGCTGCATTCCCAGCCCAACACTCAGTTTTTAAAACATGCAAAGGAGTGCTTCAGAGGAACTGGACCTTGCAATAACTGTTAAGAAGCACTTGGATGGCACTTATTCATGAAGGAAGCCCTCATTCATGACTGCAGGTGTACAGCCAGGATGCAAATGTCCCCAGTGACATGCTGTCTCCCAGACAGGAATGTACTCTCTTAGCCCACCCCCAGCTCTGTCCACCACTCTGTCCACCAGCCTCACAGCCTTGCCCTACAGACCCTTGGCCTGGGCTCTCAGTGAGCAAGCACAGAGTAAAAGGGGAAATATTCAGTCGTTCAAAGTAAAATTTTCCCTTCTCAAAGGAAGACAGCCATGGGTCCTCATAAGTTTTACCTTTTCAGAGAGTTGGAACTGAGTATCTTAAAACTTCTCAAATCAGATTTTCAAACCTGCATTATTTATTTTAGGAGACATGCTAGTCCATTTTCTGTTGCTAATAAAGTAGTACCATAGACTGGGTAAGTTCAAAAGAAAACAGTTTTGGTTCTGGAGGTCCAAGTTGAGAGCCCAGATCTGGATGTGACCACTCAAAGTTCTGAGGTGGTGCTCATGATAGACACAGGCCCTGTGTCCCTTTTGGTGACCCTGTCACTCAAAGTCACTAGGATTCAATCATGGATGCTCCACCCTGATGACTCTGCCTAACATTAATCACCTCTTCCCACTGAAGCAAGGTTGTTTCCACCCCCTTGATTCCTCCCTCTGCAGATTAAATTTCAACACACAAAGCCTTAGGAAACACACTTAAACCCCATCAAAACCTCAATAGGAACAATACACAAAAGAATGTTGGGCTGGATTTTTAGCAGATAGGAGATTGAGCTGGACGTGGTGGCACATGTTTGTAATTCCAGCACCCAGGAGGCTGAGAAAAGAGGTCTAGAGTTTGAGGCTAGCCTGGGCAACCTGGAAAGATCGTGTCTCAAAAGAAAACAAAAAGTTTATCTGGAGCAAGACATGAGACTGAGATGACCTTGGGATTCTGAGCAGCTTGTAATATGTACACTTGTCCAGGACTCGGCAAACTGTTCCCAAGCTCTACCTTTAGGGGAAAAGGAAGACCGTGCATAAATCTCAGAAATGTTCTTTCTTTAAAAAAAAAATAATAGCTTCAGAGATGTCTTGAAGTAAAAAAGATTGAGTGTTTCTTACCTTATTGGATTGCAATCCACATACCACAAAATTTGCCCTCGTAAGATATACCATGCAGTGATTTTTAGTATATTCTCAGAGTGGTGTGACCATCACAACAAGTTAACTCCAGAATTTCGTCACCCTACAGAGAGATACCCAGGACCCCTGGCAACAATTCATCAAATTTCTGTCTCCATGGATGCGACTGTTCTGGACTTCTCATATTCCTGGGATCAAAACATCTTTTTCTTTTACAGATCCAGAAAAAGAGAATTCATGTCCAAAATATAACCACTGCCCACCTGCCCACTGCGTGCTATTGTCCCCATACACCAAAAGGAGGCCCTGTGAGAAAAGATCTCTAAATCTTCAAATGCAAGCTCAAACACTTTACCTTGGAAGGATTTTTTTTCATCAGAGGTGAGAGAGAGAGAGAAAGAGCTTTCTTAATGTCTTAATGGATTAACCAGAACACTTAGAAAAGTTTTTGCCCAGACATGAAGAACCGATGAAGGTCTATGTCTGTACCATATTCTAAGTTAAACTGTGGACCAGACCCAGGCAAGTTGACTCTGCTGTCACTGGCAGGGCTTCCACACTGTGTAGCCCAGGGGAATAGACCTCACTGCATTCTGAGTGAATGACACTTTGAGAAGCCAAGCAGAGCACAGCCTTCATGGCTGTGCACAGCAGCCCTGGTCTGCGTGGGGGAGCTGCAGTTCAGATTTGACTCACATTCAACCATAAAGCATATCCGGTAAAAATGGTGCTTTTTCTTTTTTTCTATCAGTAGGTGTGGGCTAATGACAATGAGTCTCAGAGATTAGATCAGCAGAAACATCTTCAGTGTACTTCACCAGTCACATCAGGTTTCCTGGTAACAAGGCACCCCTGTTTGTTGCTAGGCATTTTGTAACAGCAATGTACTTTGTATCCCTGATCCTTAAAGCACTTAGGTTTGGTGGCTAGATTGCTCATAGGCCTCTGTCACCTCCAGCGACGTCTCTCTAGAAGGACCATTCTCATGACAAGAGGGTGGCCCTGAGATCTCATGAGTGAAAGACCACTTGATTCAGTGTTTCCAGAAACAGCACATCAGGACTGAGAAAGGCCAGATGCCAAAGAGTACAGTATCATCTGTGATATTATTCCGTTTCTTCCAGGTCAAAACTCAGCAGAACTGTTCTCCAGGGTTAGAAGTCCCCGTTAGGTCCCCCATTAGGTAGGGGAAGAGGAAAAGGGGGGCCTCTGGGCAGTGCTAGAAATGTTCTGTTTCTTGCCATGGATGAGTGTTTGCTTTGTGATAATTCGTTATATTGTACACCTAACATTTGGTGTGCTTTTCTATAAATGAAAAAGAAACAGAGGAAAGTAATTAAGACTGAACTCTGTAGCAGTTTCCAATCACTGCAGGTAATCATGTCTTTCTTGGTGTCCTGTGACCTATCAGAAATCCTCTCAGCTAACTGCACCTTGGCGATCTAGAGCGGGGTGAGCCAACAGTGGCCCACATGCCAAAAGTGGTCTGCTGCCTGGTATCATATGGCGTGTGGCACTATTTCAGCACACCAGCACCTGAGCCGCAGCGACCAATCTTGGGTTTCACCAACCCCTGCTCCAGGGCAAACATCCACAAGGTATAGAACTCACGGCATTTTTATGGGCCTACGAAAGTATTTTAATTCATTTTCAAATGAAGACAGAGAATACATCCAATCCATCACTGTCTTGGTTACTTTTCTCTTGTTGCAGGGACAAAACACCTGGCACCCAAAATGAAGGAAGGAAAGGTTTAGTTCGCTCACTGTTTGTGGAGGTTTTAGTCTATAGTCAGCTGGCTCCAAGGCAGGGTGGTATGACATTTGGGCAACACTTCAAGGCAGCAGCCAGAGCAAAAAGGTCAGAACAAGCCTCTTTTCCTCCCTTATATTGTATCCAGGCTATCCCTCCTCCAGGGTGGGTGTAGCACTCACAAAATCTTGCCCTCCTTTGCACAGGATGAGGATATTTATAAAGTAAGGGTCCTGGTTCCCTGATGAGTCTCTCAATTAAACTTCTTAAACTTCTCAAGTTGACACAGTGTATCAACCATAACAGTCACCATCTACAAGGTGGAAACTGCTATTGTGGACTACCAGCGACTGCCCCATGGAATCTCAGTCCAGGAATCAGGATTTCCTGGTATTCCTTGTGGCTGGCAGTGGCCCCAATTAAGCCTCTTTACCTCATGCAAATTGTTCCTTGTCCTGAGAATGTATCCATCCAATGGCAAGTGGGGTCAGGCATGTGCCCTACTGGGGGTGGCCTACCACAGGCAAATGGGGCAGGGTCAGCAGGACAGAGTTTTCTCTTTTGTTAGACAAGAACCTAGGTGATATCCTTGATTGTACTTCTCCCAGAAAGCCTAAGTAGCTTATTATCTGGTTCTTTATGAGAAGTTTTATCAACTGCTACTCCAAA